CATTGCTGCTTGTGCCATTGTGGCATCCACAGGGTCAGTCCTTTGAACACTTTCTAGCTGTCTTTGCAAATTGTCAGTGGGCCTGGCTTTTTGGATATCACCAACCACACTGCCTGCTACTCTGCCCACTGACTGCTCTGCTGGGTCCTGTCTTCCATCCAGATAGTCTCTGCTACACTGCTGAAGATATGCTTGCTATTCAGTCAGGGTCATCTGTGCAGGCCTATGAGGTCATGTATCCCACCCTCTGTGGGCAGGGCAATGTGCATAGTCACTGGGACTTGTCTGGTAATTGGCTTTGCTGCCTCGAGAACTGTATTGACCTGCTGTTTGAAGGGACTGTAGTGCATTTCTGCACCTTTCCAGGTCTGTGACCAAAACCCAATGGAAAGTAGAACTTTTCCCTGTTTTCTGTCCAAGCCTCCAGGCAGACCCCTCCTGAATAACATTCACATCCAATTCATAGGGAAGAGATTGGTTTAGAATGTCCAGTGCTTGGATGGTGCCCACAGCTTTTTCAGCAGTGAATGCCTGTTGACACTCCTCTGTCCAGTCCCATTGGGATCCTTTATTGGTCAGTCTATATAGGAGTCGTACGATCTGCACTAAATGTGGAATAAATGTACTCCAATACCCAACAAATTCCGAAATTCTTGTAGCTGTTTGAGAAGTACTGGGTGGGGAAAAGCCTGGATCTTATCAATAACAGCTGAAGGCATTACTTTTGTCTTACCAGATCAAGTAACCCTCAAGAATTTGACAAATAAGCCAAGTCCTCGCAGCTTGTTTTGATTCACGGCCTATCCTTTCTCCCGCAAATGTTCAATCAGCTGGGGTGCTGCCTGCTCTAGGTCTGTAAGAGAGTCATAAGTTAGCATGATATCATTCATATAGTGAAATAGAGACACTGTTGCAGGGGCCTCCAACTTTCCACATCTTGAATGACCATGGCAGCACTACAAATGACCATTGTCTTCCTTCTCTGGTGAATGGGAACTGGTCTTGACAATCTGCATGAATATCAATAAAGAAAGCATTAGCCAAATCCACTACAAAATGGTATGTGCCCAATTGTGTCCCTATTTGGTCCAATATATCAGTGATATTGAGAATAGCAACACACAGGAGGTACAACTTTATGTAATTCCCAGTAGTTTACCATCATTCTCCAGATACCATCTGGTGTCCTTATCAACAGTACTGGAGAATTATAGGGACTGTGAGCAGAGTGGATTATATTAACCTTTGTCAGTGCCTGTATGGTTTCTCCATTTTTTTGTGCCTACCAGGTAAGCAGTATTGTTTGGTGGCCATGGACAGGTGTTTGGCATGCCCTCTGATTGTAGCTTTAATTACCCTTAGTCACAGGCAAAATTTGCCAGCGCTAGCTTCTAAATACAACCCTTGCAGGCCATCAGTTCCTCTTATGTACTCCTTGATGGAAGATATATATACAGCATAGGGTCAAGGGGGCAGGTCCTAATGTGCAGGGTGGGTGTCACCCTTTGAACCTTGGTTGATTTACTACCATGCCCATCAATAGCAGTTAGAGGCACTTCAAATTTAGTTGGGTTACCATATGTTAGGGTGCATTCAGCTCCAGTATTCACCAAAGCTATTGCTGTTTGTATGTTCTTTGGGGTCCATTGTATAGCGAGCTTAATGTGTGGCCTCTGATCTGTGGAGGAGGCTTGTACGTGCTCTGTGTCTTGGCTACCCCATCTAGGGCTGTCATCTTTTGTGGGAACACGGCTCTACCTGAGGGGTGAGTGACCATTCTGTGAGCTCCTCCTTCATTACACCTTATAACCTCAAGGGGGGGGTCCTCCTTGTTACTGGGGATCTACTGTAGTACCCGGTTCTCAGCCCTCTTTTCTGAGATAGGTTGATAACACTTTTCTTTGGGAAATGGCTTCCATAATCCCACCAACACTTACTTAAATCTATCTTGTTAGGATCCACCCTGACTTAATCAAATCTACCCACATTTGCTTGTGGGTCACCTTTATGGGAACCTTTGCCCCCCTTTTCCCCCTTTGGGTTCTCTTTCACCTTTCACATTCCCCACTTCTGCCTAATCAAATCAGTCTTTCCCATTTCCGCAAGCAATAGCCTATGTGGCCCTCTGTATTGTCCCACCTGCTAGTGGAGATAGCATAGATATCAGAGTTCCATAAGAAGAGGATGAGACTGACTACAGCATTTTATTTCATTCCAGCTGTAAAGCGTACTGTGTCTGGCCCTTCAAAGTGATCTATGTATACGGCATGACACATCGCCAATTCCTGGAGATAATCCTGTAGCTCTTCCATGGTATTCCACAGGAGGAGGGAGGATGGAATGTCCCCTAATTTGGCCAAGCAGCTCTACACCCTGCATGAGCCATGTTACCCATGTTCTCCTCATGCTGCCCTGTTCCATATATGCACTGTCTTAGGGAGGGACAGTAGGTGCATGCTTGTGTGCATATACTGCGGCGTAGGGAGTAGTGGTAGGCACCCTGGATCATGGCTCTCTGGTGGCTCTTGTTGTGTGTTCATTTTCTGAATAATCACCAGGTAAACCTCGTCTTCAGAGACTCTTCCACCTCCTCTATCACTTCTATTTCCTCTTCTTCTGAGGAGTCTGATTACTCTATGGGATCCCATTTCTCTGGGTTCCATTCACTGCAGGCTGCCACAGTGTGGATGTATACATAGGCAACCTTTTCTTTTCACTTTTGTAAGGCCAAATTGCATAACAGGTCACTAATTTGCTCTAGCCAGTGACTTAACATGCCTCTTCATTCTGTCTAGTTAAGACCTGTTAGTGTTAACTGAGCATCTCTTTCCAATCTTTACTCCTCCTATAATCTCTGCACTTGGCTCTTAGTGGCTTTCTCCTGTTTGGTAGCCACTGGGAGAATGCAAAGCAGGGGCCAGACTACTGCTGCTGCAGCTGCATAGCTGTTTTTCTTCTTTTGTTATTTGTCCCTTCCCATCAACTGCTTTTAGTAATTCCAGCAGTCTGGTGGCATTTTTGGAGCATCCCTGTACTCACGTGGCCACCTGCAGCTATTTACCAAGCTGGTAACTTTGGACCACATAGTACTAGTGGTTCATTCTGAGATTGCCCCCAGAAGACATTCCCTCCCATCTCTGTCTCTTGCATGGCCACTGCAATGGAGGGTGGAGGGCATCTCTGGAATATCCTGCCAACAGTGCCATTTACGCAGTAGCCCAGATCTGAGAGAGCTTGTGCATAATGTTTACCTATTCCAAAGAAGTCACCCAGAGGTCCACCAAGGAGAGACATTGGCTTATTTACACTTGCAGAAGGTTCATTGATGGCCGCCAGTCGATGATGAAATAATCTGTGCCTCTGGGCACAGACAGCAAGTTAACTTTTCAAATTCATGTACAGTGTTTACAATCACATGGATTAAGTAATTAATAGTGATAACTACATTGTCTTTAGGTTGCTTGATTACCTGCATCCATGACTTATTAAGTCCATAACTGTTAGCAGGGAATATGTATATCCTGCAGAGACCAGCCTTGGCCAGGAGGTTGTTCCCTGGGGAAGGGGCAGAAAGAAATCAGATATGGAGGAAAGAGGCAGTGTCTGGATAATTACCCCCAATAGTTCAAGCATGAGATATAGGATTTCTCTCTTACTATTGGACTTTTAAAGCTGTTGATAAACATGTAAGTACCTGGTAGATAAACTATCAAGAGAGATTAAATGAAAACATAACAATGAAAAATATTTTGGCTATTCATGTGTAGTGGTCATCATTTATACCTTATTTTCATATAGAACAGTGATGGTTATATAAATCACTAAATAATGGAGACTTACACTGAAAGGCAGCTAAGACCAGACTTCAAGGCTTGGGTTTATGCTAAAGTTTATTGGTCAAGTCACTTAACCTTTGGGAACTTCACATTCTTCAAAGTTTTTTTTTGGAGTTGGAGTTTCACTCTGTCGCCCAGACTACAGTGCAGTGGCACGCTCTCAGCAACTGCAGCCTTGCCTTGCTGGGCTCTGACAATCCTTTTGCCTCAGCCTTCCAAGTAGCTGTAACTATAGGCATGTGCTACCACACCTGGCTAATTTTTGATTTATTGTAGAGACGAGGTCTTGTCAAGTTGCCCGGGCAGGTGTTGAACCCGTGGGCTCAGGCAATCTACTCACCTCGGCCTCCCAAAGTGCTGGGATTACAGGCTAAGCCACCGAGCCCGGCCTACATTCTTCAAATTTTAATGAGAGTGTTAAACTAGAGATGATCTCTTACAGTCACTTTACATTCTCAAGTTTCATTATTCTAGATGTTAGACTATTTTTTGCTTTTAAGCAATAGGTTTTAATGTGAAAATATGGGCTTCGTAGATAGTTTTGAGTACAGCATGGATGTTTGCTCATAATCGATCCCTTTTTTTCTTCTTAGTATTTGTTTAGATGATAATTTTCTTAGTACCAGTTTATGTAAATACTCATATAACTTGTCATTTTTATCCAGTAGGTTTTTTTTATCCTGTTAAAATATAATATAGAGAAAAGTTTGTAAATTGTGAGTTCAATGAAAACTTTTACAGTGAGCACTCCCTGGTTCCTAGCACCTAGATACTAGATCAAGAGACAATATTACCATTATTCTAGAAACTCCTCACAGTTACTTTCCTCCAAGAGTCAACCACTATCCTGACTTCTAACATCATAGATTAAATTTTGAACTGTATAAATGACATCTAGTAGTGGTGTATAATCATATAACACTCACATGGACATATATGTATATTTATTACATAATAATATCTTGTCTACGTAAATTATACATAAATACATATCCATACACATTATGCTTTTACTTTTTTTGTGTGTGTGTGAATTTTTTTATTGAGATTTCCTCTTGATAGATAATGATTATATAAAAGGCATATGCATTTGTTATCCATTGAGTACTTCCAAGTACTTGTTCTTAAAAGCATAGTTATCTAAAGAGAAAACTTTTATTCTAGGTCCAGTGGCATTGCAGAGCACGGATGGTTGCAGGAGCCAATTTTTACATTGTTGGACGCGACCCTGCTGGCATGCCTCATCCAGAAACAGGAAAGGATCTTTATGAGCCGACTCATGGCGCCAAAGTGCTGACAATGGCCCCTGGTCTAATCACTTTGGAAATAGTTCCCTTTCGAGTTGCAGCTTACAACAAGAAAAAGAAGCGGATGGACTACTATGACTCTGAACAGTAAGTTTTACATTCTCTGCACAAATCTATGAAATACTTTGTGGTCTAAGCTGCTTCCAATGTTATTAGTCTTATTAGTGTATTGTCTTATTTTTACAACTGTACTAATGACAGGTTTTGTTGTACCCATTTCAGAGAAAGGCAAACCTGAGAACCTAATTTCTCAATATTGTAGATGTTAGAAGCAGAAATAAAGATTGACTCTAGTTTCATTGTTTATGGTTTCAAGGAATTTTGTTTTGAAGTCTTTAAGGACTGTATTGATATTTCTATGCCTACTGTGTCTGCTGTAACTTACTGAGCATAAGTATCCAAGGACTCAGTAATGGTTACTCTGGTAAGCCTAGGGCATCTATGTATGGAAAGAAAATTCAGCTAATATTTGTGCAAATTACTATATGGCAGGCACTGTCCTAATTGTTTACAAGTGTTAAATTATTTACAGATTGGCTATCTCTTATCTGGAATGCTTGGGATCAGAATTGTTTTGGATTTCAGAGTCTTTCAGATTTTGGAATATTTGTATATAAACAATGAGATATCTTGGGGATAGGACCTGAATCTAAACTCAGAATTCATTTATGTTTCATATATATATATATCCTGAAGTTACTTCTATGTAATATTTTTTCATAATTTTGTGCCTTATACAAAGTTTATATGCACCAAACTATCATAAAGTGATGGTGTCAGGGAATTTTCCACTAGTGGAATAATGGTGGTGCTCAAAAAGTTTTAGATTTTAGAGTATTTCAGATTTTGGATTTTTAGATTAGGGCTGCTCAGCGTGTATTTTCCACAATAGATACAGTAGATGCTGTTATTCCCATTTTACAGATGAGGAACCTGAGGTACACAGAGGTCGAATAACTTGTGTAAAGTCACAGAACTGGTAAATGGCAGCCCTGCAGTGGAACTCAGGCAGTCTGGCTACAGAGTCTATGCACTTAGTCACTAGCAACACAGCTTCTGTCTTCAAAGATCTTAGGAGGAGTGAATAAAAACAACTTTTAAGCTTTTAGTAAAAATTCTTGGTAGTATTGAACATATGTGAGGGGACTTTAAAAAATTAGTGGAAAAAGGAATTAAAAGCTAAAAATAAAAAAAGAGAAACTTTAGTTCTCTCTTTTTTTTAAAATTATAAAGATATGGTGTACAATTCTGGCTTAGGTAAACAAACATCGATTATGCAGGTATCCTTGTTGATGAGGTACACCCCTCCTTCCCCTGGCAGTTTTTTCCTTCAACTGCCAATCCCACCCCCCTTCCCCTGACAGTTTCCCACTACTGCCAATTGCTTTCTTATAGCATTATAATTGTTCAAGTTCCGCTTATGAGTGAGAACATATGGTACTTTGTTCTTTGTTTCTAGACAGATCACTGAGTATGATCGACTATAAATCCATCCAAGTGGCTGCAAAGTTCATATGTTTGTCCTTCTTTATGGCTGCATAATATTCCATTGTGTATATGTACCACATTTTTTTAATCTAGTCTAGCTTCGATGGGCAACAAGGTTGGTTCCATGTTTTTGATATCGCGAGTAGAGCTGCAACAAACATACGTGTACAGGTATCTTTTTTTGGTAGAATGATTTGAGTTCCTCCAGGTAGATTCCCAATAGGGGAATTGCTGGGTCATATGGAAGGTCAATTTGTAGTTCTTTCAGAAATCGCCATACTGTCTTCCAAAGAGGTTGCACTAGTTTGCATTCCCACCAGCAGGGTAGAAGCATTCCTTTTCTCCGCATTCTCAACAGCATCTGTTGTTGTTTGTTTTATTAATGTTGGCCATTCTTACAGGGGTTAGATGGTATCTCAGTGTGGTTTTGATTTGCATTTCTCTGATGATGAGTGAGGCTGAGCACTTTTTCATGTGTCTGTTGGCTGCCTGTATATCTTCTTTGAGAAGTGTCTGTTCATGTCTTCTGCACACTTTTTAATGGGACTGTTTTTTTTTTTCCTTTTGGCACGTTTGAGTTCCTTGTAGATCTTAGATGTTAGGCCTTTGTCAGATATACAGTTGACAAATAGTTTTTCCCATTCTGTGGGCTGTCTCCCTGCTCTCTTGATGATTTCTTTTGCTTTGCAGAAGCTCGTTAATTTGTCTTATTCCTTAAGTTATGGGCATTTAGAGAGTTCTGATCAGGTATTGGTTGCCAGTTCCAATTTCCATAAGGGCGTCTCCTGCATTTTCTAAGATTTTTATTAGTTTGGGGTTTTATGTTTAGGTCTTTGATCCATTTAGAGTTAATTTTTGTGTATGATGATAGGTAGAGGTCCTGTTTCCATCTTCTACAGTTTTCCCAGCACCATTTACTGAATAGGTTCTCCTCTCCACAGTGGTTGTTGTTGGAG